CATAAAAATATCCTCATACACTCATACTAAAAAAGAATAGTTTTCATTATTTTTTCTGACACATCACCAAACAAACAATAATGCCTAATATACTAAACAGATTCCAATGTCGTTAGTTTAATTCAGGGGAAGAATGCGTTTACAAATGTGTTATTTCTGATGGCACTACTATTACTATTCCATTTTTGATGGCACTGCTAACCTCTATTTTATTTCTGATAGTCTACTCTTCCTTTTTGGCAAGCTTTACAGTGTTTTGCCATGCTATCAAGAAAGGATTTAGTTTATTTGATGGTTTATTAACTAACTGACTTGCATTGAAGATTTTTGTAAATGTTTGATTTTGTATTTTTGCAAATGAAAATGCCAGTAAGCAATTTAATGTTTTTTTGAGGTTACCATCCATTAAGGCTACTTAGGACTTTTTTCAGTTCAAGATATCTGCCAAATTCAATAGCATGCATTTTAGAAATTAAATAATTTCTGTTCTTAGGTCTGCAGTTTCACTTTATGTTTACATGTTAAAAATTTACATGTTATTCATGTTATGCCTTCGATTTCGTAAATCTTAAGTCAGAAGTAAGATGTCAATATTTGTTTTATTTTAGTTGGTAAAGGAGGGACATTAGGTTAAAATGAAAGTCTAGTGTGCAAAAGAAAAGACGGACCACGGATTTTAAAAAAGTCGTATTTTTAAAATTCATTTTCGGAGGAACTATTCTGCCGATTTCCCTCAAGATTTTCATTTTGCTACGTACAATTAATTACATTTCTTAAAATGAGGTTAAAAATTGCGTACCTTCAATTCAAATTTATTTCGACAATTATTAAATAAAATTGTAAAAAAGTAATAAATATTTACTAAAAATTATTCCTTGTATGGAATTACCTTTGGATAAATAAATTTCATAATTGGTTGCAAAAGTTTTTTAATTCGCTTAAAAAATTCTAGCGATATGGTGAAATACGCGAAAAGCAAAATTAACATTAAGGAGTACAAACTATGGACCACTCTCCGGATCAAACTATTGAGACCATATTTCCCAGATGACGGCTATCCTCTATAGTTTGGGGGTCAGTAACCCGAATTCGTCGAAAAAGAGGTATTCTTATTTAGAAAAAGTTCATTTTCGTGTCTGATTTCATAATTTAAATATTGTCGGTAATAACTAATTGTAATATTTGAAGTTATTAATTAATTAGCTCTTTGAGTCATTAAGACCGAGTTCTAGAACGTAAAGATCCGATCATTGGATAAAAAGTAATTCACGGTGGTCCTTTATTTCTTTTGTGCCCTGTACATCTACAACTCAAAACATTTATTAGTAAAAATGAAAGCTTAAAAAGCATAATTTTTAATATTTTATGTCTGGAATTTTATACGTTAAGTCAACATAACAAGCAAATACGTCATGATACTTATCTTTCGAATTTATGAGATCACAATAGTTTAAGTGGGTATTTAAATTGCTAGGAAATAAAAAATAAAGTATTTTATAGATAACAATAGGATAATAATTATGGGATTGACAAAAGTAATCCTATAATTTGCAATAAACAAAGAGTTTTCTAGAATAAGAGATTTGGTAGGTCAAATTAAGAAAAGGTGCTTATAATACAAATTTAGTTTGTTGAAAAAGATTTGAAATTTCTGATAAATTATGTTAACTAGATTACAGCATAAAAAAATCAATAATATTTTTTTTACATTTCCCAGAAATTGAAAACAATTCATTCTTTAAGGGTCCTTTATTCAAGTGCCTCTCTGGTCCCCCACACTCCAAGTTTAAATTTGGAGGTAACAAAAGCCAATTTTGTGGAAAGAAATATTGGTGGCCATTGTTACCTTGTATAGAAAACAACAATGAACTTAAAAACGGAGGAAAAATCAAAATAGAAGAATAATCAATAAGTAAACCAACCATAAAAGACTGATATCTTGCTTAAAAAATATTTTTTTTAGGTAGATTTAGAAAAACAAGTTTTTCAATTTAAAATATTAAATGCATAAATTTATGTTAAAGTTATCTGAAATAAAAGTAAATGGTTATAAACTTACTTTTAAACATACAATGTATAAAAACGTGTGGTTGTATAACAACACATGGATTATGAATTTTCATTCAAACATAAAGTATTTTGATAAAATAAACGTTGAAAGTTTGGCAATCAAAAGTTGTTTAAGTCACCCAGGATGAAGGAGCCGCATATTCTGGAATTCAATACGTCTCTAAATTTGTGACCAATTCCTTATTTTTTTGAATATAATACAATTCGGAGACAAACTTTGTTTCCGAAAATCATGTTTTATTTGGTTTTTAAATTATAAGTCATTTTGTGATACTTCTATTGTACTAAATTTAAAAAAATAAATAAATGTGGTTTTATAAAAGCTTGCTGAATTATTTCTATGACTTAATTTTAATTTTATGAGAAATTTAAAGAAAGAAGAACTTAATTTGGACAAGTTGAAATAAATTTCACGATAGAATCTGATTATATTAAAATTAATGAAAGATAATCTTATTACTGTTTATCCATCTTAATACGAGTTAGATATTATTCACTGATTATTATTAAATCAGTGGTTATTCAACCACTGATTTAATATAATTTTGTTGAATTGTTTTTATAACTTAATTTCGTGTTTGTGAAGACTTTAAGCAATGGAGACCTGTTATTTGGTCAGATTGAAACAAATTTCATAATATAGTCGGGTAATAAAAAGGAGTAAAATTAACATGCAATAATCCCTTGTTTGTTTTTTTTAATCTGAATACAATTAAATGTATCTAGCTTTCTGTTCGGAAAAAATGTGACACATAGAATATAAATTGCGTGTTTCACTTTTCATTTCCATGCTACTGCGGAAAATTCGGAGAAGAATTTCCGCAAGTTTGCATTTCTAGATTAAGTTTTTGTAATGAAACACTGATATAATTAAATGTATTTAAAAATCTTTAATTGTGTGACAAAATAAGTAAGTATGTAAATATCTACGCTTTTATCACCAAAAAGTATACAATTTAATTCTATTTCTTTTAAAATACTTTAAGTAAAAAAGAACGAAGTTAAAACTAATTATTTAATTAATTTTGCCACCCCATATCCAGTCAGTGATTTAATAAAATTTCGCTAGACTTCATTTTATTTTTATGAACGCTTTAAAGAATGAAGACCGTAATTCGGTCAGATTGAAATAAATTTCAGAATAGAGTTGGATTACGAAGCGGAATAAAATTAACGAGGACCAGATGTAATTAAGTCTCGAAACTTCCGGTTAATACAAAAGAATACCGAGCAAATAAGAAAGCCATTATTATTCTTAAAAATTTAAACTTGAATACTTTCTTCTCATTAGTTGTTTGCTAAATTATTTTTCATTTTTGTAGCATGATTTCTTTTAAGAATTTCATTTAGAATATAAACTTTGATATTTAATTCTTTGTTTAATAGAGGCAAGTAATACTAATTGCATTAACATTCAAATATGTATAAATAATGGAAAAATATAAATAATGAAAATATATACAATTTTTTTCCCTATTATTTCCTAATAAAAGATTAAAAAAAAGGAAAGTGTCTTGCAAATCCTATAATAATTTATTTAAAAATATATTTCTCGCCTAACCATTTATTTCCTTTTTTTTAAAACGTTTTGTTTCTTTTTTTATTAAAATTTATTTACTCTTTCTTCCTTTCTTCATTGTTTTTTTCCTTTTATTTACTGCTTTTTTCTTCTCTTTATTTTCTTATCCCCTTCATAAAGTGTTACTCTCGATAATAATTTTACTTTATTATTTCTATTTTTCTTCAATGGTTCTGAATTTTTATCCCTACTACTGTTAGAAAATTTGCCACAATTAACTAATTTTTTTCACAATTTCATCCCATACTTTTATTTCGTTTTTTACTTATTGTTTACTTTATTACCTAATATCCTTATATTTTAAATAATTATTTTTTAAACAAAAATGAATATAATTATTTTTAATAATTATGTTTATTATTTTTAATATAACTATTTTCAAAGAATTAGTATTTTTTGCAATCTTCATTTTTCTCGTAAATAGTGGCATAAAAAGAGTAAAGCACTGACGCAACAGCTATTTGTCGTTTGAGCTGGTTATGGAAAGTAAGGTATCAGTTTCAAATTAAAACGTAGAGGCGTTTTAAATGTACATCGATCAAAAATAAATATGTTTCCGCTCTGGTTTTAAATTATGCATGCTTAGAACATTTGAGAGTTTATCCATAGATTTATTCTAATACGTTAGCATAATTGATTAATTTACAAATTTAGATTTTTGAGTCAGTTTTAATGATTGACAGTACGTAGAGCTTAACAAATTCAGCTATACTTTACAAATGTAATTTTTTTGTTTATCATTTGTTTTTATTTATTTATCGCTTACAACTAAATTAAATGTGACTTTAAGCTATATGCTAGATGCTAAAAGATAAAGAGAGAGAAATAAGGCAGAAAATATATTAAGGGAGCTTGGGGGTCGTGGATCCCGTTCTGTTTTAAGAAATAGACAACAAAATTATTTAAGGACTGAGTCTGAAGAAGCACAGTTAAAAGATGTAAATATTTTCTTAACATGAAGTTATGGAAGCTATATTTCTTTTACATTTAAACTTCAAATAAGACATAAAACATGATCCAAATATATTCAAAAATCATTAACGACTCGTAAATTGTTCACACTAAAGAATTTTTTAAAATTTTTCCCTAAGAGTTCGTTTCTCAGTAAAAACACACATATATAATTTTTTTATCATTAACATAGCAAAAAGCCAAATAAGTTATAGGAAAAAAAAGGTTATAAGAAAAATATTGAAAACAAATGCTTACTTTTGAATTAAACTGAATTTAAGCTTGAATAAATTTCTTTTTCTTTGGGAAAAGCTGCCGAAACTCGTAGACCTCCTCTTAACTACAGCAACACTTGCAAATACAATTATGACAAATGCTATACAAACATTTTCCATTTCAGTATGGCAGGCAACCAAGTTATTATCTTGATGGACAAAATGAAAGCACCTTGCGGCAATTAAGAGACGGATCTTCATTAAATGGCATTAGGAAAATCAAGCCAAGATATTATGGACAAGTTTCTACTGGTCAAACTTTTCCAAATGCTAACAGTAAGTTTTAAACTAATTAACACTCTAATCCAAATGTAATATTAAAGACTACACTTGATTCATATTGATAAAATATAAATTGCTTTACATATAGGGGAGAGTCAGGTAGCCGCTCCCACTTAAGGAGTATTGCTTATATTTCAGTATAATATTGAGTAATAATCAATATTTTTGTATGTTTATATTGTTTTATCATCTAATTAAATAATGCAAAATAATAAACCAAAAAAGAACAGTTTAACATAAAAAAATAGAAATTTAAAAAAACATGTTTTTCAGCTCTTTAGAAAATGTGTCGGGTAGCCCCACCGAGTTACAAAAATTATGTTTTTTGACTGTTTTTTTCAGATATAAATGAAAGTGACCAAAGTATTGACAACAGATAAATCTTATTTATCATTTTTATCACAAAATTATTTTTTTAATTACATATTTATATTTATATAACATGATAAACTATTGTTTACCATGTTACCAGCTGCATGAATACTTGAAACTTTGAAAATAATATTTTTTTTAATATAACAATTAATGTCCGATGGCCCATCGACTTGAAAAAATATTCTATACATATGAAATTGACAGTGGGCCGGGGTACCCGACACTCCCCTATATATATATAAATTTCAACGAAAGAAAAAAAACTGTAAAGCTTGCAGAATGAAGGTGCAAAAAATAATATAAATTTGAATTAAATATTTTTATTAACGAAAATTTAAAATGTTTAAACGAAAACCAAACGTTGAAACAAATCCATTACAGCACAAAGTAAAATTCAATATTTATTTAGCATTATTTTTCTGATATTATTTCTATATTTCTTGAATTATTTGAGGTTTTTTGAACTTAAAAAAGAAAACACTTTTTTTACAAAAGAAACATTTTAAAAGACAAAAGTTTTTCCAGAAAATTCGCCTTAGAATTTTCCTTATTTCAAAATTTCGTCATTAAGCAATCACTTGTGATACCCATTAATATCCGTAATTGTGTGAAACATATTTCTCTATTCGGATATTAATTCATAATTATAACGATCGCTAGCCTAAAAGAAGCAGGATGAAAAACAAACAATTAAAAGCGAACAACAAATAAAATATGAAAAGTAACAATAAATAGTCAAAAGAGGGGTTGATTTTAATTATATTTTGTCGAGAGTTGAATGTTGTTATTTATTCCCATTATAATGATGATGGGCCGACTGCGTGGAAAGAGACTTTTCAGTCTTAAGAGTCTCAAACTGGAAGACAACTGCCAGGCGGAGGCAGGCCTGGAGGAAGTTGATTGAGAAGGCCAGGGCCCACCCGGGGCTATCGTGCCATTGAGGAAGGAAGAATAATAAGATATTCTCCCCGTTATTCCGAGAGCTTCCTTCTAGTCTGCAAAAAATAACCTGAAAGCGTAGTGTCTTCTACGCAAATTGAGCATTTATTAATTTTTTTAACGGCTGACACACAATTCTTGATTTTCTCTGAAAGATGCCAGAAGTGTTGAGGTTTAACGTTACCCGATAGGCACATGTGAACCTCAGTCACGGAGACGTGTAAAATAACCCATACACTGCTACAGATACCCATTCGTAGGTGGAGTCACTTCACTCTCTTAAAATGAACGAGTGAAAATAACTCAACTTGAGTGCTATTTAACTCTTTCATCTAGAAAAAACCGGCCTTCTCATCTTGCGTTAAAATCACTCAAGTGAAAGAGTTATATGGAAATAGCTCAATTTGAGTGAAAAAAATTTCACTCATACTTGAGTTATTTTCACTCGAGCTTAAGTGATTTTCAGTATTACCTGAGTGGATCGTTTTCACTCAAACTAGAGTGATTTTAAATCGCGTTTGAGTGATTTTCAGTATTTCAGTTTGTAAATTGCAGTCAAAATTTTTATTATTAATATACAAAATGATTGTATTTAGTGGTGCCATCTATCGTAAGCAATAGAAAATACTATAGTTTTTGTTTAAAAAATTTCCTTTTTAGTGGAAGGCCTCAGACAGGAATTTTTTTATTATAACTTTTGGGGAATTTAAATATCGAATTAGATAGTAAAGTACTTGTGAAAGATTTCGCTGTGAGCATATCGACACTGTGATTCGAACTCGCTTCCCGTCTGTTGTGAGATTCACCGATTAACCCTCTCAGCTCTAGTCCTGTTTTAAGACGGCTACAAAGAACTAATTACTTTCATGAGCTGGGTCTTGTTGGCGAGGATAAAGCCTTTANGGAACGCATTTATGATGTTCTATATATATATACTAAAAACTTCTTTATTAATCTATATTTTTCCATGTGCAAATCCAATTCAGGCAATTCCATGGCTAAATATCTGTGCAAAACTGTCAAATTATGTTTTTCTCTTTTTTTTTAAATAAATGTTCATTTTCTAAAATTATTAAAATTGTATAATTAAATATCAACCTTATTAATTGTAAACTTTAAATAATCCAATATAATATTATTACCTTGAGCACATCCATTTTTGGGCCAATCCAAGGTAGCTAACAAATTAAACACTTTTCAGTACTGCAGCAAGAAAGCGACATAAAAGATCCCTCTATTTACGCTTCTAACTCTGTTTGCGCTTCTGTTTGTAATCATATTTTGTAATCTGGCAATCTTATTAAGAAAATATTTTAAATCATTTGTGAAAGGTTGCGGTACGTGTAAGTTCATTTGAATTCTATCCTCGCTCTATAGATTCCATTTCGTGTTTTGTTCTGTATTTTCTGCTTTTTGTTTGACATCGTTTATTTCGTTTATATTTTTTACTTAATGAGTTCTATTTCAGTTCCAATTTTTTTGAGTGCTCCTTACATTATTGTATTGATGTATTTTGCTTTGGCTATATTGATACAATGTTAGAAAGCATCACTTTTTGCAGATATAATCGTGTGAGCTGATTAAGAGATTATATCTTCTCCTTTTGTTTGTTTTAAGGCTTTTAATTTTTTTAAATAATTTCTTTTTCTTCTTCTTTTCTTATTAATCTTTATTATTTTCCGTGTTTTCTCTATATTTTTAATAATGTAAGTCTCATTTGCTTGAAGCGTATGCGTAGTAAATAAAACTTAGTAATTTCCTTGGTTTCTCTCGTTTTTCTTTATATCCCTTCTTTCTTTATTGTGTTATATACTTTGTACTTACACTCTTTTACCTTATATGATGAACGGGCACTCTACTAGTATGTAGTAATTTCTTTTTCTTTTTCAGAATCCACTGTAAGTAAATCACAAATCAGGGAACTAATATCTGAAGGAAACATTAGTGCATTAGAGGAATTAGTTTTACAAGGTCAAGGTGATAGACTTCTTGGAGAAACTTCTACTATTCCAAAACTTCAATCTTTTTTAAATATTGTGCCAATGTATATGGTAAGTTGTATGCAAAAATAATTTTACCACCAGTCAAATATTTAGAAAAAAATACAATTAAGTTTCTATTTCGCATTATACCTTTGCGGTTGTATTAACTTTATATACAGGGAGTAAAAAAGTTTGAAAACTGTCAAATATCTCCATAAATGAACATAAAATCAATAAAGTTAAGCTAGATGCATTCAACATTTTCTTAAAGCTATCCAATGATGCCAGAGTGAAGGTTCAACTCGAGTTTGGTCGATCTCCCCCCCCCCCCCCTCNCCCCCTACTCTAGAGAAGAGGAGGGGAGAAACTTCGAAATCTTAAATATAAACTCCTATTTTTTATTGCAGGTTTGGATTCTACGAAAAAAAAGTATTTTTATTTGAGTTGTAGTTTTATGTATTTTGCTTCACAGATGGTGCTGCAACCGAGAAAATTAAACTAGGGTACAAGGAGCCCCATCAGAGTGATACAAAAGTAAAAATAGAAATTTTTTAAAACTCTTTTTTGAAAAAAAAAAAAACTGATATAAAAACCTTCAAACGTGACATTTTTAATGTTCTTTATCTGATGGATCTCGAGATTTTCCATTTCAAACAGCCTGTACTCCATTTGGTTTTTCTCGGATACAGCGCCATCTGAGAATCAAAATGCATAAGCCTATAACTCAAGTAGAGTTAAATTTTTCTGGAGGATGCAGTAAGAAATAAGGAGTCTTACTTAAAATTTCAAAGTTGTCCCCATCTTGCCCCATCCCCTAGAACTGCTTCCAAGTAAGGGATGAAATATTGAGTAGAAATTGAGAGAAGACCTCCTACCGAAAAGGGTTAATGATATAGACATTTTGCTTCTAAGCAGACTAAATAAGCTATTTTTCCCCTTCCACAATACTTTCTGCACATTTTTTCAGTTATTGTTTATTTATTTTTTCCAGTCATACTTTTTAATTTTTTTAAGATTTTTTTTTATCTTAAAAAATTTATTTTTTCTCAAGATGATTTTTTTGGCGTTTTAAGTATTTGAATAGTGTTTACTGTGAACCCTCTAATATTGCACAGAATATTATAACTACTCATAATATTTTTAACAATGTAATTTTAGTTGACTAAGAACATAAATGAAACAAAATTTTTACAAAACATTCTTATGAAAAGATTTTTTGCCTTACTTATTTGCCTTACTATTATGAAAAGATTTTTTACCTAAAGATTATTTGCCGTCTTAAATAAAATAACTAGCAGTTATGTACTACTAAGAAGTATGTAAAACTTAAGAGTACTTTTTACCATTTTTCATTGGCAACATAACATTTTATAGTTCGAAAAAGTTTTGTTTTTTCTAATTCAAGGTTGGCAAGTCTGGAAAATGGGCGCCTAATTCTGAGCACTTGATACATGTCGGCTACTCTTTCCAATTGTATATTTTTGATGCGAATGAAGTTTTTAATCAAGTTATATTTTAACGTTTCAATTTTCTGGGATTATTTGTTTAAGGAGATATTTAGTTATAGGTCATAAGTTTTCGATTTGCTTAAAAGTTTTCTCAGATATTACGAAATGCCTAAAACCTTAAAATGACATTTAACAGCATAAACCTTAAACCTCTATCCTGATTAAACTGTTGGGGTGATATTTTTCTGGTTATGGTCACACCCTGCAAAAATTTTATGGTCAGGAATCCAAATCTGGTAAAAGTACCGACACTCATCGTACCGGTACTTTTTACCGTGAAGTCCAATTTTACTGGAACATGTTACGGACCAAAAAATCTGATTATACCGTAATTTTTGCAGTAATAGCTACTGTAAAATCACTGATTAGATCCAATTAAATAAATATTATTGTAAAAACTAAGTATAATTTTTTACGGTAAAAATGGAAAATTACCCCTATTAAACAGTATTTTCAAAACTGTGAATTCTAAGCTTTCATTAATTTCACTATCTCACTGGCCATTTTTCAAACTTATTCCGATAATCTCTTAAGTCACAAGCAAAAGGGGAGATTATTATTTTGTATACCTCGTTCAAAAAAATTGGGATTCCTCCATTTCTCACGCTTGGTTAAGGGAAAAACTTTTTTTTTGGAACTGAAAGTCTAGATGTGAATCGTAAATGTGAAAACGTGCTTCGTTTTGTACGATAAATTAAGAAAGAGAATTTAGGTAACGAATAAATGAAATAATTAGAAATATTTATAAACAAATTATAACACCGCGCGTTTGATAACATTATAAATAACACTGATAAACAAAATAATGCACAAAAACTACTTATTAGGCAAATTCAAAAGTTGTTTAAGGTATGGTTTAAGTAAATGGTTTTAAAAATAATTCTTAAAAAATTCATAAGCAATTTACTATCCCATTATGTTCATTGAAATGTTTAGAATCATAAAACATAAATTTTCATCTAGGAACGCATTTATGATGTTCATAGAGCAGTTATGAGAGATCAGTTAGAACATGTAGTAATACTCTTGGAAAATAGAAAATTAGCTTTAGCTCGAGATCAACTCGGAGCAACACCTCTTCATAAGTCTATATGGTTTGGTCATTATAAAATAGCCCATTACATCAGCAATCAATTTCCAGAAACTCTGAATGCTTTGGACATGGTAATTATATCATGTATTATTATTAATTAGTTAATGCTTGCTTTTAAAGTAAATTTGAATTGAATAGATTGTGCAAAATAGGACAACTTGTGGCAAGGTATTTAAAATGCATTTTTACATATTGTAGATTGTTTTGGAAAATAATATCGTTCAAATTCAATGAAATGTTTTTAAAGGTTGAGTTGGACCGTGATATCGTAATTCTTAAACTTGATTACACGATACTATGGTTCAACTTAAACGGAAACTTAACACCTTATTACGGTGCAATTTGACACCTTATTTAACACCTTTTTGTAACATCACATTAAACACCTAAAAGTTGTAGCGAATTTTCTCCTTATAAAATGGTTCAGGTATAAGTACACGGAGAAAAAAAAATCTGATAAAGATATTTCTGGTAAAAAATAAACAAACATAATTCCGGTAATAAAACAAAAATTTACAGTATTTACGCTTTTCATTTTGTAATTTTCCGTTGATATAGTAACAGTTTACATGAAGTTCTGGTTTTCAAAATTATAGTTCTTATCTCTATACATTTATTAAAAATATAAAACTGAAAAGTAAAGTAACCAAATATTTATAAACTGAAAATGAATTATGCCATTCGGTAAGGTATCATGATAAAATCACCAAATTTTACCACAGTTACCAACAATAAACAATAACATATTGTTAAACAATAATATATTGTTAATACAATAATATATTGTTAATTTTACAAAAATCGCTAAAAATTACTGTGTTTTTTCTGTTTCCGAAAGTAAAACTGTTCAAAATTACATAATTCAGCAGTTTCTTAGAATAGAGGTTAATGTAAGTTGGTTATTTTAACATAGGGTGAAATGGAAAATATTATCTTTCTGAAATAAAAGCTATTATTTAACTATATTCTCGTTTTGTTACACACAATCTTAAAAAGTCACTTCTTTACTAGAAAAAACTTCGTTCCGTATGTTTACTCTAAAAACAATTTGCAGTTTACAGCTCTTATTTTGATATAGTGTCAGTAAATTTAAAAAACAATGGCGAAACATACTGCCCCCTTCTCAATATCACAATCTTCCGGAGGTAAAACATATATCAGAATTAACAGAAATCAATAGTTCTTAGGCTTAACGATAGACAAAATTAGCGATAATAAGAGACTGCATTAGAATCGATATTCCTTAGATTTAAACAACTAATGAACTGTAATAGTTACTCAAAAAGAATACTGCAGTTAGATGTTAATATATTTCTCAAGTAGTATTCTGTTTTATTTAATGTCTAATGTAATGTGTTATTTCAGGAAGGAAGAACAGCATTACATTATGCTGCAGCATTAAAAGACAATAAAAATATGTATGGAATTTTAATTGAAGCCGGAGCAAACAAGGGAATATACGACAATGTATGTATTTTATTTACTACTAAAAACAAATTTTAAAAACCCACTATAATTTCTTTTATTAATTACCATTACTAAAAGCAACTAATGCAGAACAAAAATTTTAAAAATGTTGAAAATCCCCCGTAATTTTTTTCGGTGTCCAAAAACAGTGAAATACATTTTTTGCATATGCTATTTTTATGCATGTCTTTATTACGATTTTAAGTTTTCGATTAAGTTTGAAAAACGATCATAGTATTATTAATAATTGAATGATTTCAATAAAGTTACTAAAACATTAGGGATTTTGATGGGATATTTTAATAATTATATATTAACCGTTAATTTTATTTTGAATAACTAAAACATATAAAGATAACGACATCTTAGAGAAAAATTAATGTTTTATCATGTCTGAGATAAATCTTTTAAATTACTGTGGATTATAATTAAACCATATTTTTTAGAGATAACTTATTTTAAAATAATGATATTTAACTTAGGAGAGAGTGGTGTATGATAAGGTAATGGGCCAAAACCGGGTACCGGAATTGGATGGAAATTAGTTCGGTTTTTTAGCGGACAAACTTTGAATTACTCTTTATTAGTAAAGAATGATCTTATATTGGTTATAAGTTTTTTCTGCAACGTTCTCCGGTATTTAAGTTATCTTTATTTATTATTTTAAGTCCAGCCTATTTTACGTTTTCTAAAGATTAATATTGTATTAAGTAATAAGAATTTTTTCCAATAGTAGTACAGTCGTGCTTCGTTTCGATAATCTCTGCTCCCTGGGTAAGATCGTTCACTAACTGGATCAGTGCCTCCTTCTTGATTTGTGTCCATACTAGGTCCACGGAAGCTGTAGTGCAGTTTAGGAAGAAGACAACAACGTCCAAAGCTGAACAAAGGTTTTACCCTTGGAAAGGTATTCTTTGGCCAAGGTTTTACCGGTCCCGGGACGAAATGTATTGCGGGCCCCTTTTCACTGCGCAAAAAGGCTTACTTTCATATTTGTAGAACTTTTGAAGACTTTTCATACAAAATTGTAGTTTTTATGCAGCTATAACGAAATTCTCTGCCATTTCCCTTTTTTAAAGAAAAACATTGAGCACTATATTTATGTAAGGAATTTTTGCTGGGCCCTCGACAGTTCTGGTTCTTGGGACAAGTGCCCCTTTCTCCCTACTTCTCATTTGAGTGCGGCCTTGATTATATCACACGAATATTACACTCATAATTTTCTTAAATTGTCATATAAAATGGAAATGTCTGCTCTTTTTTCTCTGAAATTCTAAGATATCTGAATTTCCCTTAGAGTTAACATGTACACGCGGTTTTGCACCAATACTGGAGTGAAACCGGGTTGTTTGACTTTTCTAGAAAAGAAATACTGTACAAAAAAAAGTAGTACGACTATTATTTTTCATTAATGATATATTTTACACAACTAAAAAATGAATTATCTTGATTAAATCTGATAGTTCCTAGGCTTACTTGATATTATCCCATATATATATATATATATATATATAGCTANATATACAATTTTTCTTATCAACGTGAACTAAAAGTTCCATTGACCAATCTTTTAAAACTCTTGCAACTCTTTTGTTGCAGTGATGGAAGAATCGCGGAAAGAAAACTGTCACTGTCTTATAAATAATTGGTGCGATGTAAGATACTATTTAACGGAAATATCCTTCCGGGACGCTTAATCAGTTGAAAATGTGAATAAAATATACTATTCATTTGATTATATATTACCAACCTACACAGCAATCTTTATCCGGTTATTCTGTTGTTTGGAATCAAAATCAGAGTGAAATTTCTGCGTTCGGCAATAAAGTCATAAACCCTAATTTAATATTTGCGAAATGTTCGAAAACGAACATTAGATAAAGAATTTTGCATCCACCGTTAAAAGTTATTGCCTTAAGGAGTTATTTCCGGATAATATTTCGAGAGCTTTAACTATTTCGTTCGAGTTTATTCAAATGTCTTTGATGACTTTTATTATATATTATGCCTAAAGCTTCTTCAGAGGAAGCATTCTTGCAAATCAATGCTCTCGATAAACTTCATAATTCATTCTGACCAATTGTTGCTTATAACAGTTTTCAATTGCTGTAATTATTGTGATTATGTATTTGTATTTTTCTGTTTGGTGATGTGATGTGATTGGCGAAATATTGTATAATATATAAATGTAGTGCAGAATCATTTTACTCGTAATAGCCAGTTTTAAGCTCTTTGACTAAAAATAGTATTTGCGTTAAGAATAATTATTTATATTTGCGTATGCTTCTGTAGAGTTACTTTCTCATCAGAATTTGTAATTAAAACAGTGATTTATGTATTTATATTTTGTGTAGCATTATGTTTTCAACATTGAACGTAATTTATTTGTAAAACAAACAGAAGTAAACTTATATGACGATGCTTTTTTGCAGTTTATTATAAAATTATAAATACCATAGTTGTTTCTCTCTAGTCTAAGAACGACTTCATAAGCTACAATTTACAGTATTTTCTGTTGTTCAATGATATTATTAGAAATTATTTAAGAGATTATTTAAATAAATTAAAAAGCTTTTTAAATATATCTTATATATAATTTTTTATGATTTCAATATAACTCTTTACATTTTCTATCTAGTAAGAATCCGAAATGAGCACTAAAATATAAAAAATATTTATATTTCTTGTCACGTTTCGTTACAGATTGCCAACATTCAGCAAAATTTATTTTTAAAGTTAAAGTAAGTACACTGTAAAAAATTCCGTAAAATCATCCATAATAAGAAATTTACCATAATCTCTATTTTTACCGTGAAATAGTATACCGTATTTTTTACGGTAATATTTATTTAATGGGAGTTATGCAGTGATTTTACGTTAGTTATTTCTGCAAAAATTACGGTATATCAGATTTTTATTTCGTAACATGTTCCGGTAAAAATGGATTTTACGGTAAAAAGTATTAGAGTCTTGAGTGCAGATACTTTTCACCATAATTTGATTCGGAATTTTTTACATTGTAATGTAATAGAATGCCATTTTCTTGCAATTTATTAGATTACGCACACCATATATGTTCCCTTTTTAAATCGGGAATTAAGTTCATAAACTATTTTACAATGTTTTACATTATATAACACTATTTTAGAATACACGGCACATTTTCTTTTATTCTACATAATAATCCTTAACCAAAAATGGAACAAAATGCCAGAGCCAGGAAAGTTTTTTACTGTTTACATTACGAGAACCAATAGGGGCTTCATTGTTGTTGACCACCAAGTCTATTAGCCGTAAAAGATTTCCTAGCACATAGTTCGTAAAGTGAAGACAAAAAAACTATAAACTGAACGTTTTTTTTTCCAATTCCATGCATAGCTTTTCAATATAATCGATGGACTGAATCAATGAATTAATATTATTACCAATGATTTTTAAATATTGTAAGCAGTCTTTCAAAATAACTGCAATATATAATTTGTATTTTGAATAAAATGTATTCGCTAATTCTAATTTCATACTTTCACATTTTCATTAGAAATGTTATTAATTTTTGAATAAAGACATAACTAATGAACAAATCTGAGTATGCCATCACAAGAAAACATTTATCTTCATTTAATACTAAATAAACTTTAAGTAAATAAAATGGAACATTTTAATTAAAATCTAATTCGAGAAATGCTTGTTTAACATGTAAATACATTAGATTTATACGATTGTCCAAACGTTAAATAAACTTATTTAAATGCCATCATTTTGTAAGATATTTTTATTTGGCATATTTATTTTTTATTTTGTGTTTACAAAGGAGAGAAAAACAGAATCCAGCTTTTTAATCTTACAGCATTTAGATTGTTTGTTAACTAAGTAAAAATATTTTCCCTACTTGTATAAATATTTTTACTATTCAAATATTCGTTTTATTTTTTAAACAGAGCAATATTTTTCTATTTAAGTTGTGTTCCTTATGTTATTAAGTGAAACATTAGAATCTTTGAAAATGCAGATCTATTTGCTAGCATTTACAGAAAAGTTAGTTAATGTTATATAGTTTTTTAATAATTTAATTCTTTGAGAAAATAACGGTAAAATTTAAGGAAAAAAAAAGATTTTGGAATTATTAATTAAAATACAGTTCGAAGTCTGAATGATTATTTTTAGTATCAGATGTTAAAAAGAAAACATTCCCACCTTGCGACTTCTATCGGTGTTTTAATTTTTGGATATTTAGTACTATTTTTAGATGCAAGTTTTCAAAATTATTTATATTTTCTCTCACAGCGCAAAAAAAAGTTTTAAGACAATATTTCGTCGTAAAAATTCTTTTCTATTTTTTTCAGGTTATATATAAACTATTTATACTTTGCTGGCATTGGAACAGTCAGTTGATTGTATACGTATAATTCATTACTAACAAAATGAGAGTTTAAGACTTTCTAAAATATTATGTTTGAGAGTACCTTGCATATGAAGATTTTTAATGTGTTCAAAAAGAGCTGTGATTTGTTTAATTTAACAATAACACTATAAATGGATTATTTAAGCGCTATACCTATGAAAACTCTCGATGAGAGTGACAATAATTGCACTATGTGTTTTTATTGTGTCAACACATTATTAGTTTGTCGAAACAATAAAAAAGACTACTAAAGCATTTTTTTTATAATCGTCGCTGAACAGCCGAGCCAATTTTGGGTTTGCGACTACTAATATTCAACTCCGTAGCCTTGTAATTTTGAACCAATCCAGAAGACAAGGACGCTCCTGGATCAGTACCCCCATAGGTATTGATTTGTTGGGAACGTGAAGGATTTTGCGACACGACGGATTTAACGTGCATCAGTCACCATTCACTACACGGGGAGTCTTCGGCCGACCTGGGATCGAAACCACGAACTCTTGGACATGGGTCCAAACCAGGTCCCTACCAACCAGGCGATCCCGGCACTTGCAAAAAAAAAAAAAAAAAAAAAAAAAAAAAAAAAAAAAAAAAAAAAAAAAAAAAAAAAANAAAAAGAAAAAAAAAAAAGAAAAGAAAAAAGAAAAAGAAAACACGTGAAATCTGGAAATTGAATGGTTGAAGGCAATGGGGATGTTTAATTCTATTGTACAGTCCGCAAAAAAAAAACGAATCACCCTGAATAACTTTCGTTCTAATGATCGGATTTTCACGAACTAAGTGTCAATCTTAATGGTTCCTGGGGGTGACCTCAAATATGTTAATTAATTAGTGCTAACTATTAATTAAGTTACGAAATCAGACACAAAAACGTACTTTCTCTGAATAAACATATAATTTTTTTTACATATTTGGAATCTAGACACTTGAATTAGGGGGGGTAGACAAAATTTTAAAA